CACAGTGGGTGATTGTAGCGAAGTTTCAGCAGCATCGGGATCCGAGGTCCACAATGCAACAAAACCCGGCGAAAATGATGCCAACTCACATGACAATTACAGAACATCATGAAAACAACCATGCCGGTCATGGCGCACGATTTCCGGACGACTTTGGACAAGCCCATGCGGCTTAACGCAGGGATCCAGTACAATCATGTACAATCAGAATCCATGCAACCCCGAGGAAATGTGACAATTTCACTATAGACTTTAAATTTAGCAACATAAGATTTACAGTAATTAATACTTCTGAAACACCAGAACCGCAAGGGGACACCGTTTCTGCACAACTTCACACATCTATGCACGACTAAACCCAAACACCAAGCAGTGTATGATTTGGCCGGCCCGCGCGATAAACAAGGAAAACATGAGGCCAGCATAGCGCAAAAACAAACTGCCGACTGTGGAAGTAGCGCGGGGAAACGAACAAGCTTATGGAAAACTGGAAAAAAAATGTAGTGAACCTTAGCGAACAGCTTTTCATAAAGAATATAAAGATAAGTTTTGAAACAGAATAAGATTTACAGTAATTAATACTTCTGAAACACCAGAACCGCAAGGGGACACCGTTTCTGCACAACTTCACACATCTATGCACGACTAAACCCAAACACCAAGCAGTGTATGATTTGGCCGGCCCGCGCAATAAACAAGGAAAAATGAGGCCAGCATAGCGCAAAAGCAAACTGCCGACTGTTGCAGTAGCGCGGGGAAACGAACAAGCTTATGGAAAACTGGAAAACAAAAAACATGTAGTGAACCTTAGCGAACAGCTTTTCATAAAGATAAGTTTTGATTATGGACGTTGGAAGAAGATGCTCCAACACAGCCTTCGACAATTGCCCCAGCCTATTACACAAACCTGTTTGCCGCGGCGGCTGCCGGCATCGCCCAGAGTTTCCCCATGCATTGAGAGGTGCCAGCAGAAACAGGCGGGGCAAGGACCCTCAGCGGCAACGCTTGAGAAGAGCGACGCATCACCAAATTCGAACTGTAAATCGTGTATCAACGGTCCTGCACCGGCCACGTCCCGAATTCAGATATTGCTTGCATCATGCCAAGCCAAAATGCGCCCTCACCAAGTTCGAGAACCCGGACTGGCCCCATCCGCTTTCATAGTATTGATTCCGATATGACGTTGTGTGTCCCCTCCGTATGGGGAGACTTGATTTGCGCAACATTCGGAAAGGCAGCGGTGTCATATTTCGTTTCAAGAGATGCGTACCCATATTTGCTTCCGACCAGTCTTGTCGAAGGTAGGGGGTTCCATGCGGCTGCCTCTTGGCAGCAAACTTTTGTCAGCAAGCAGGTCGCCATAAATCCCGGGGTCAGGTTTCTGACGCGCCCCAACCAGAATGGTGGATGAGGCAATCCCACTATCGTGTCTTGCAAGTTCAAAATCAATGATGGGCAACGGGCAAAGTAGGTTTTATTTGAAAACAGGACGCTCATTTTTGTTCAATACATGTTGCACCGTTTACGCCCTTTTATTTCGCTTCACTTCTGAGTTTCATAGCCTTCACGAAAACTAAACGTAGCTAGTTGGAGTTTTTTCATGATTTTTCACGCTTACACCCCTTGGGCTCCCCCATTTGCTCCCCCCGTGTGCTCCCTGCTCCCCTCTTCTGCTCCCCTCCCCCACCTTCGCCTTTTCCACGTCCCTTGCGTTGATGCTACAATATGCAAGTTTGATGCCCAACTCACTCTGCATGAGGCATTCCATAGAATCCTTTTTCCGAACCCTCACCGCCCATCCCATGCCACCCAAATCATTCCACCCAAGTCAGTCCACCCAACGCGTCCTGGGGTTGTATGGAATATACGGGATAGAAGGGTTTAAGTATTTCGTCCGTTTACTGTAGCACCCATGTTCCCCTCTAGAAAATGTCAGGGTAAATGCCAGATAGAATGAAACCAGAATAGGTGACGGACAGAATGCCAGAAAAAATGTCAGGCAGAATGTCAGAATATATGCCGGAAAAAAGTCAGATAGAATGTCAGTATATATGCCGCTATGCCACATTATACCACAAATATTTCCAGATGGTATGTCAAAAACTATGTCAAAATAGTGTGTAAAGGTCCGGTATTCGAAGATTTTTTAAAAATCAGTGACCAAGGCACGGTTTCCACTCCATCGGTTGTGGGATTTCAGCGTAATCGAGACGCTCAAAACCTTGTGCTAGAACTTGTCGCCTGAGCAAAAGGTCTAAAATAAGTACCTCACTTCGCATTGTGGCCGCTGGGGGCGTAGCACAATTCCACCCGCAGACGAAGATTCCGAAGACGAATATCTTTTAAAGGACCATTCCACCCAAAGACGTGAAGACGAATCCCCCGCAGACGAATTCGCCACCGAAAACGAAAGACGAATT